GCTAATAATTTTGACTTTAACTGTATAAAGTTCATAGAATTACAAAAGAAAACTATTCTACTCTTGATTTGGTTGACCTTTTAAAATATCTCAATGCTTGAAACAGCAGGTCGGCTGATGCAAATCTTCCTGTACCTCTGCTTCAGCTTTCAGATAATCCTGTAGTATGTGAAATCATCTTTTTTTTTCTTGTGTGTGGTATGTGGTATTTATGTGGTAGACAGTGAGCAGTAAAATAAATCTACATGACAGCGGTTGAACCGAAGCTTCAGAAGATATATATTTTTTCAGTTCTTTGTGGCTCTATCGCTTTCACACGGGTGTGGTGAAAGATAAAGCGAAATTCTTCCTTTCTATTTCTGCAAGAACAATCAAGCTGCCTCTTCCTTCCTTTTTCCCTTTCTTTTGTTTTCCAATGTCATGTTTATACCAATTTTTTTTGTTTTGTTTTTCAAGTTTGGCTAGAAGAAACTCACTGCGGAATCTGAAGTTCGACCCTGACCCTGGTTAATGTGTCTTCATGATGTTCATACACTATATTAATGCTTAATTGTTCATCATACATTTTAACAGAGCTTTTAAAAATGATTAACACTTTCCTTCAGAGAAAAAAAAACACACAAGCTTCACACATGTTAAGATTTAAAAAAAATACAAAAAAATATGTTGACCACAAGTGAAGCAAGAGTAAAATTCATGCCAAATTCAGCAACATTTTAAGGTAAACGTGTAGGCAAATGTCAAATGAAATGTACATCAAAGGGTTAGTTCACATAAAAATGTAAATTCTGTTATTAATTATTCGCCCTCAGGTCGTACCACAGCTATGAGACCTTTAGAACACAAATTAGGATATTTTGAATGAAATCCAACAGCTATCTGATCATCCATATAGACAGCAACAATCCCAGGAGGTTCAGACCTTCAGAAAGGTACTGAAACACTATTGTGAAAACATCTCCAATGGTTCAATAGACCACTGCTGAAGCTACAAGAATAAGTTTGTGCAGAATAAGTTTGTGCATTGTGCACACATCAAACTAAAATAATGGAACTGCTAGAAGAAACTGCTAATTAAAGTCATTACTTTTGCTTCATGTGTGTACCAAAGTATTCTCCTAGTTTGATAATATTCTCACTAAACCACTGAAAATTGTTTTATTTGTGTATTTTTATGGGCTTTTATGGGGCCACACTGTGGCGCAGTAGGTAGTGCTGTCGCCTCACAGCAAGAAGGTTGCTGGTTCGAGCCTCAACTAGGTCAGTTGGCGTTTCTGTGTGGAGTTTGCATGTTCTCTCTACGTTCTCGTGGGTTTCCCCAGGGTACTCCAGTTTCCCCCACAGTCCAAAGACATGCAGTACAGGTGAATTGGCTAGGCTAAATTGCCAGTAGTGTACGAGTGTGAATGAGTTTGTGTGGATGATTCCCAGAGATGGGTTGCGACTGGAAGGGCATCCGCTGCGTAAAAACGTGCTGGATAATCCTGTGGCGACCCCGGATTGATGAAGGAACTAAGCCGAAATGAAAATGAATGAATGAATTGACTTTTATGGATTTTAATGTAACAAATCAGGACTAATTTTGCTGTTGACGTTGAGAGAGCTCTCTAATTTTGGAAACTGTTTTTGCTTTTTCAAACAAGCTACATACATGCTTTCTAAATGTATTCAGTGCGCAAGAAGTGCATAATAAAACATTTCACAATGAAATAACATAGTATTAAGTTTAATAAAGACAACTGTAAAATTGTCTTTAAAACATACAACATAAAATAAATGTGGTGATAGACACTTGTTTCTTCAAAAAGTCCCCATGATGCTAAAGCTTCTTTTAAACCTTTAGATATATTTTCTCCAGTGTGATCTTTTGGGAAGAATGCTGTTTGGAAATATCGACGTTTCATTTCAAAGTTGTTATTAATATAGTGGACCGTTAACCTCGTGTACGGCTCCATTGTTCTGTTGGACCACATATCTATGGTCATGGCGAAGCATCGAGTACACCTGCATGCAGTTTTTTTGTGATGCTGTTTTAAGTGTTGGAGCAGACTTGTAGTATTGCTCTGTTTTGTTGGAATAATCATTTCACAAGTCTTGCAAATTACCTTGCTCTGTGACATATCCTCTCTCCTGAATCCAAAATACACCCAAACGACTGACGTCGAATTTCTCTTTGGCACCAAATAATTTCTTTTTGACCTGCATCCATATTTTATGTTCTTTTCTCCTGCTCGCCTATTCAGTTCTGCCACTCAACTTCGTCATGCACGGAGTGAGCTGGTTAACATCTTTCTCCCGCTCAGCTTAGCTGTAATTGCCCGGTGTGCTGCGTCAGCTCTGATTGGTTAACATATTAAAATCATGCGCACAAGAACATATTCTGAATAAAATTCTAAATAAATTAATAGATAAAAATTGCAGCCTTATGCGGTTTAGAAATTGCATGTGCTTAAATCGCGATTTTTTTTCTTGTGATTGTGATTAATTGCGCAGCCCTGATGTGAAGTTTATTTATAAACTAATTTCGAGAGGATCATGTGCTTATGATTGACCACGGCTGGACCCACATTAGCTAATACGTGATTCACCAATCAGACGATTCCTAAGTCACTATTAATAACCATAATCTTCATATCATATTCATCTTCGTCTTGAAAAATCTCCCCTTCCTCCCCTATTCCACCCCCTTTTTCCTAGATTGTGTGCCACGGTGGCCAAGTGGTTAGCACTGTTTTCTCACAGCACGGACGCCACTGGTTTTAATCTTTACTAGGCCAGTTGTGCTCATGTGGGTTTCCCCCGGGTTCCCCAGTTTCCTCCCACTGTCCAAAGACATAATTCAAACGTGAATTGACTAAACCAAACTGGCACCATTGTCAAGTTCCTAGCCAACAGTATTCTTTGCTCATGTAGCAATTCGTCATTAGCTTCAAATAAGCAGGGGAGTTCTCGAGATCTTTTGAGCTCGGTGGTCTCTCCTGGGACAGCATGCTAAACAAGCTTATCAATCATCAGCTAAGTGTGAAAATTGGTTGGTTTTGCGTTATTTTGAGCAATTTCGTTTTTCTGTTTTGAAACAAAATTTTGAAGCTGGGTCACACCGATCAGATCCTTGCGTGTATTCTAGTGTGTAGACTGGCTGTCTGTACCTGGGAGTACTTTGTGACGTCTCTGAGTGTGCACCATTAATTCATGAGAAAGACTTAGCTCAAACCAATCAGCACGCTCTATTGTCTATGCAGTGCAACTTCATTAAAATGCGTTATAGCTTGAAGACTGTTTACCTGTACAGTGTTCAGACGGCAGAGAGACGCCACGTTGTGTTGCCAAAACAAGTGGGAGAAGAAGAATTGTTTGGAGATACGGGTCATCAGTGTTGCTTTTATAATTTGCTGCAACAAAGGTTTTGCTTTCTTTTTCCCAGCTGGACTCACATGTTGATTACAGTACACACAACCCTTGACAGAAATACGTGTCTACGGAACATTTTTTTACCCGAGAGCTTTTCTCATCTGGAAATGGTGAAATCCAGATTTCACAGTCCTGTCACTACAAATTTGGTAAGCGATAAGTGGTCTTTGTTTATTCAGGTGGCAAGGTTAGTTCGTATCGTCAGCAGTACTCTTTCAGTGTTTAAAGACATACCTTAGTCATTATGATTTCTAAGTTACTAAAGTTTACGGTACATTAATATCACTACAATATTATAGACTGTAGGATCTGCTGTAAATGCTGCTTTACGAGTGTAAACATGTAATGCAACTATTACCGTCGTGTAGAATTTTCGCCGCATTTTGTGACAGGAATAACACACACGACTTTCAGACGCTACCTTCTGAGTGCATCTAAGTTACAGAAAAATGTGGAGGGTTTTTTCTCTCATTCACCGTGCTGTAACAAACATTTTATTAAAAATACACGCTTCCAGCAGTTCCTCGAATCAAATATCCCGACATGCATGAAATGTTCCTGAAGGAAAGTGCCAAACTGCAGTTAAAGTCCACCATTTAATAATTTGGCAAATAATTTGTTTACTGATGTTCATGTAAACACAGTAACTGTCTTTCTCCCCTGCGTCTGTGTGTTTGTTTCCAAACTAGTGGTGTGAAAACATCCTGCTGAAACGGGGGTTTTGTGGCCCTTTAACAAGTCAGGACTATAGGAGGATGAGGGAGCTCTCAGATTTCATCTAAAATATCTTCATTTGTGTTCTGAAGATAAACAGAGTTTGGAGAAACCCGAGGTAAATGTGAGTAAGTAATGACAGAATTGTCATATTTGGGTAAACTAACCCTTTAAAATGTTCTAAAAGCTCCCATTTAACTTGTGTCTCACTCATGTTTCACCTTGTGTTTCTTATTTTACATGTCATTTTTAATACTCAACTGCACATGTAAAGCTTATTGGGTTTTCCTGTAAGGCTTGTGATAGACATGATATTGCACAAATAGTCGAATATTTTTATACTGTAATCACACAGATATTTTATGATAGAAATCAAAAGGAGTCAATGAACAATATGACTTACCATCACCCTCAAAACATATTACGATTAAAACACTGAAGGCATCTGGTTTGATGATTTATTTTGGTATTGTTTATGGACTTTTAACAAGTCAAGACTTGCCATTAATAGAGCATGAGAGCGCTTTCAGATTTAATCTAAGATATCTTAATTTGTGTGTTGAAGATGTACAAAGGTCTTAGGAGTTTGGAGTAACCTGAGGTAAATGTGAGTAATTAATCACAGAAGTTTTATTTTTGGGTGAACTAACTCTTTAAAATGTTCTAAAAGCACACAGTTTTACCATGTGTTTTACTTTTAGTAATGTTTACATCTCATTTTTAAAACATAACTGCATATTTGAAGCTCATGGGGTTTTTCTGTAAGGCTTGTGTAAGACTTGCTTTTGCACAAATAGTTTTCAAGTCATCCTCCTGTAAACACACAAAGATTTCATAGTAAAAATTAACAGGCGTCAATGAATGGCGTGACTTACCATCTCCAAGAAATAAGATGATGTTTTTGGCAATGTTCTTGTTGAGTTCTTGAAGCTTCAAGGCATCTTTAAGTGAGCGTTGAGCAAAGTCCCTCCAGTAATCAGGCCGCTTCTCTTGCTCTACAAGCCGTGAGAAAACATGTTTACACTTTTAACCGCAAATTATAACACACAAGCAGCAAAGACGCTCCTGCAAAACAAGATAATGACCATGGTCTTAAATGGAAGTCTTCATTTAGAGATTATAAGCATGCTAGGCTAAGCTGAGGTGACTTTATCAAACAACTGAATTTCTATTTTATCCATGTCTTATTCAGTCCGCTTAAGCTTCTTAAATCCACAATCATGTCAATGAACATGTCTGGGAGCATCTGACCCCGAAGGTCCAATCTTCTTATGGAAGCTAACGTATATTTGAAATTTGTTTTATTCTATGTCCATACTTGAGGCAAGGTCAAACCGAAGGCTATAAAAGCTTTGGTGTTTTAGTGTTAAGAAAGCACTTATCTGGTATTGGTCGCTTTGAATGATGTGCTGTTGAAAACATGAACAGGATCAAGGAATATGAGCATGAATAGGGACTTAGAAGCCTAACAAAAAATGTTGAAAAATAGGAAATAGTGCCATTTATGAAATCAAATGCCTTTATATTGAACAAGACTACTGTTAAATGTACACACAGAAGATTAATCATTAATTAATAATAATAATTATATATTTTATTATTATTATTATTATTATTACTGTTGTGATTATCATAGTTATTATTAATAATATTGTTGTTGTTGTTGTAGTAGTATTTAACTTCATTCAAAATAAATTAGTTTTAAGAAGTTAAATTAAATTTACAGTTGTTCATTCATTACTTTGGCTTAATCTGTATTTCAGAGGTCGCCACAGCGGAATGAACCACCAACTATTCCAGCATATCTTTTACGCAGCGGGTGGCCTTCCAGTCAGGAAAACAGTTATTCTTCTATGCTTTTATTTTAATAATTAAATTTGATGGAAAGGAGGGAGGGGGGTGTTAAAGTCTTAATAAATTGCGGTTCAACTGAAAAACTTCCCAGCAGGCAGAAGAAATCAACGTGACGTCAGATTGACATTGTGCCCCAACGTCATGGGGATGTTGCATTTTATTTAAAAAATAAAAATCGAGTTGACGTCAGAACTCAACGTCAGGCCGACGTCAGTGTCCAATTTCTAACCTAAAATATCAATGTCTAATGATGTTACAGCTTGACTTTGTGTGGACATTACCACTATGACGTCTATCAGACGTTGGATTTTGGTTACCATATTAGATGAATAAATGTCAGTTTTTGTCGTTAATATGACGTTAGTTTCAGATGTTGGCTCAACGTTGGATTTTGGTCACTTTTCAACACAACCTAAAATCAACCAAATACCATCGTCATTTCTTGTCATTATTGGATATCAGAATAAATTTATCCCTAGACGCTGATGCTAGACATTGAATTTTCGTCACCTGACATCATGACCTAAAGCTGAACTAATATTAACGTCCTATGACGTTGTGTGCCTGCTGGGTTTCATAGTTTTAATTAGAAAGATATTTTTGATAAATTCCTTTTTTTTATTAAAGCAGAGTTTGAATTTTTTTTTTATTGTAATAAAATAAAATAAAATTGTAATAAAAAAACTAAAATTGGGAGAAAAATAAAATGAATACTATAAGGTAGAGGTGCAATCCTTTTCCAGCTATTTTCCTCTAGAGTTTAAACCCAACTTAAATTAGATTCAATGGAAATTATTATTAGTATATAATTAGTATATATATATACATATATATATATATATATATATATATATATATATATATATATATATATATATATATATATATATATATATATATATATATTATTACTAAATATTAGTACTTTTTAAAGTGTTCTTCCTGAAGATTTCAATAAGCTATTTCAGAACTATTTGAGAAACATCTCGATGCTTTTTAAAATTTTAAGTTGATTGAAAATAAAACAATTAAGAGTAGTTAGAACAAGCAGCACATTTTTTGCGAGTGTATGTTAGAAGATAAATGTCCAGGCACAGGATTTAACTCCACTGCTATATACAGTGCATCAAATAAGTCATTTTTAAAGAAACAGTATGATTATCCTTACAGAGAAGCTGGCAAAAGGTCAATAAACAAAACAATAGTCTTAACTGACCTGGAAACTGAACTTTTGTCTTTCCCTCCCAAACCAGACAGCTGAGGATAAGCAGTTGTACGACCTTCATTTTGTTATCTATCAGCCTGCGTTTACGGATTTTCACGTTCCAAGGGTGCCAGACAACTGAAAGCTCTGTAATGAAAAGAGTTCATGTTAAAATGTCCAATTTAACGTGGGGAGATATCTCCATGCAAGCCAATCATATGCTGATTTTTTCTGTGGCACTTCTTTCTTTTACATAATAACACCAACTCAGCCAATGGTGCGAGTTTAAGGTAGGGATTCATACTTCCAAGTATTATAGACCTCGTTGATTTGAAAACAATCATTATTGTCACTGTCACGTTTGGTTCTACTTCAGTGGTGCAGAAATGACACACTTCAAGCATGGAAAACGACTGTTTACCAGCACAAGGCTTGTTTTTTCCATCATAATCTGATATTTATGTGGAATAACAACTGAGATATAAGGACAGAGTGTTTAAGTTGATGATAAATGTGACAAAAACGGACCTGAACAATCATTTAGAAGCATATTTGACCATTATTTGGAAAATTGACAACTGAAAATGTGCCTGCATTAGTGTGAAACCTCTCAGTCTTCTACTCTTTAGTCAAGGTCACTTTAATGGGATTGACTGCCACTGCATACGCTGCTTTAATAGGCATGACAAAGCTGATTAACTGGACACTTCTGTTCCAAGGCACAGGACTGTAAGATTTCTATTATGAAAACACACTTCATCAGCTTACTTCACATCCTTTTAGCGGGTTCTATGGTCAATGCGCACAAAGCATCAGCCAACTTCAAAGCCACACGTTCAGGCAGTGTGTACCTAACCCATGTTGGAGCTACCACTTCTTATTTACATTTGTAAAACTGGGAAAAAAAGGACATTGTGCTAGTCACGTAACACATTGAAATATTGATCTCTGTTGAAATGCTTGAGTTAATAAACAGCTTTGAGGTTTTTGATTGGTTAATTATTACTGGTACTTCCCATCTGTTTTTCAACTTCGAACATTCATTCATTCATTTTCTTTTCGGCTTAGTCCCTTTATTAATCAGGGATTGCCACAGCGGAATGAACCGCCAACTTATCCAGCATATGTTTTATACAGCGGATTCCCGTCCAGCTGCAACGCAACACTGGGAAACACCCAAACAGAGTCATCCACACACATACACTACGGCCAAATTAGCTAATTTAATTCACCTATAGCACATGTCTTTGGAATGTGAGGGAAACCAGAGCACCCAGAGGAAACCCACACGAACATGGGTAGAACATGAAAATTGCACACAGAAATGCCAACTGAGAAGGGTGCGCGACGATGCCTATTTGAGGACTGGGAGGGAGACCTACTCATAATTCTCTCTTCATATAGCCGTAAGTCTATTACATATCCATAAAACACTGTGATATAACCGCGCTCGGATCGGATCGCTTTCTCACTGCAATCGAACCGCTCCAGGGTTCGTTTCAATCAAGCCGAGACAACCTCATTCAAGCGATCTCGGAGCGCTTACTTTGGTGCGGAACAGATCGCGATTGCCCTGTTCACATATGCCAAACGAATCGCGCTAACTGGGCAAACGAGACACATTCCGAAACAAAAGTGTAGGTGTGAAAGCACCCATAGTTCCCTCTTGTTGATTCTTATTTGCATTATGTGTGGTTTGCATTGATCTCTATGTGTGTGAACATTAACAAACTGCATTACAAACCTGAGAGGGGCACCTCAGCCACTGAGGGCAGAGGGGCAGTGGCTCTAGCCACTGGGCCACCCCCCTTTGCAAGGCCCTGCCTCTAGAGCTGAAGTTAGAAACATAGTTCCTGATTGAGTTTTATTCCCAGTTCACGAGTTCACCCTCACAGATATTTGACTGAATAGAATAATGCGTATTTGACGTTCTGTCCGGGGAGAAGGCTCTGAGCTCGGGAAGACTCCCTAACTCGTGTTATTCCACTTATCAGGATAAAGAGAGATAGGGTCCGACTAGACAGGCGCAAAGACTATGCAGTATTATTTGACATTTGATTATTCAATTACTGTAGACCTGAATATAGTTTGACTCCTCTGGAAAACCATAAAATGCTGATAATTTAATTAGTATCTTTTTTAATAAATTTATTTGTGCTTGTAGATTTTTTATTATATTTTATGCACAGAATCATCCCAATGAATCTAAAATGATATTTTTTTTCAAATAGTTATTAAACTCAAGTGAAACTGTATTCATATTGCAATATATATTGCAGAATAGACAAATATTGCTATGTTAGATTTTTTCAAATTTCGTGCAGCCCTAACTAAATGTAATATTTTTTATGATTCTTTATATTCTTTATTAAATTGAGGTGTACACATTTTTAATTTTGGGAGATTATCTCCAGTTTTGGCTTCAGTACCAACTCGTAATGTATATACAGTTGATGTCAGAACTATTAGCCCTCCATTGATTTTTTTTTTTTTTAATATTTCCTAAATGATGCTCAACAGAGCAAGGAAATATTCACAGTATGTCTGATGATATTTTTCAGTCTTATTTGTTTTATATTAGCAAGAATAAACAAACCATCGATATACAATAACTTAACCCTAACCCTAATAACAATAACCGTAACCTGCCTAGTTAACCTAATTGACCTAGTTAGCTGTATAGAAGTGTCTTAAAAATATCTAGTAAAATATTATTTACAGTCATCATGGCAAAGACAAAATAAATCAGTGATTAGAAATGAGTTTTTAAAACTATTATGTTTAGAAATGTGTTGAAAAAATCTGTTCGTTAAACAGAAGTTGGGAAAAAAATAAACGGAGGCTAATAATTCAGGGGAACTAATAATTATGACTTTAACTATACACAAATATTTATTGAAGAGCATCCCATAGAAAAATATTAACTTAAAAGGTGAGATCTAAATTATATATATACAAAACAAATGTTTACATTTTCATATATCTCACTATTTTAACATCATCTTCAAAAACTTACAAGACTCATCTTGGACTCACTAAATAAAAACGGAGCCATCAAACAACCTTTAACACAAGTCATTTACTGCATTTGTTTTCTGTATTACAGTCAACATGCCATCGATAGCATTCTGACCTGAACCACTGAACATTTTTACCCCCTCTAGTTCTGTTACAGAGAGGTTTTTTACCATGATTGAGGCTCATTCACAAGCTCTGTCAAAAACGCAGTGGGGCTCCGGCAGGCAGAACTCTTGAAGCCAGTCTGCAGGTGAAGAAGCACAGCAGTGCCAAAACACAAAGAAACAACAAGCCAGAGAGCAAAGTTGTCAACAAAACCCAAATTCCTTCTCGATTCATGGCATCAAAATGCAAAGATGTTGTTCACCGTCCAAAACAGCAACAAAAATAACACACCTATCCTTCTATTCAGCCTGCTGGCTTCAACTACAATGCGAATGAGAGCTGCAATTATGTGCACAGGTCAGGATAATGAGGATTAGGATTATTACTGATGGAGAAAATCTTCCTTCACGCCTCCAAAACAGACTCTGTGTTATTTTAAAAGCAACAACAATGGAAATAGTTCTTAAAACTGTCCAAATTGATGCCTTATAAAACATGCAATTTCATGTCTACTCAGACTGGCATCCTATTTTGCACAATACATCACATGTTGTTTTGTAAAAACCTGTTATGTTTTTTCATGCAAGTTAACGCCTGAAGGCATGACTGTAACTTCATCGCTCTAATAAACTGGAACATCAGGATCCCTTTGTGTAACAGGATTTAAGTTAAACTCCTAACATCCGAGGCCTTTCGATCTCCCAACATCAAACACTGTCACTGACATATGGTTTGTATTGGGTTTGTCTTGGTAAACAAAACTCTAACGCTAGACAAAACCAAATCTAATTAATCTCATTCAGCTGACCAACAAACAACAAATCATTTGAAAGAAGAGCAGAACGAAGAGATTTCTATGCTATTGTTGCATCTGCAAACTACATTGCTATCACTGCATACAAATCAGATGGTCACATGATCAATTAAAAGTGCACAAACACTAATGTCTGAGAGGCGCTTAGGAAGTACAACAAAATCTCCTTTACTACCGTTCTTTCTTATACTCCATTGCATTGTTTGTTTTTCTTTTACGCACTTCCTATATTTCTTTCTTTTTACTCAGATGGTACAACACCTCAGGTACAATAAAAAAGTGTTTTAACACATCAATCCACAGTCACAAATACGAAAGAGTAAGACACAAACCTGGAATCTATTATTCTCAAAGAATGCCATCAGTTTTATCCCTTATCCAAACATGCCAGCGCAATTAAATGTAATTGTAGTCGTAATTTGGAACTAATCATAATGAGATCAAGTAGAAATCCTCAGAGTCAAGTAAGATCCTACTTTATGAACAGAAATTCTCTCTTCTTTCCAGAAGGATCTTATTTTCCTCTTAGACGACTTTTGTTTGATCCAATTGAGTCCAAATTACCTAACAGATTCCATTTGTTTAGATCTGCCATGAAAATGCAATGGTTTATCGGGGTAAACATCAAAGTACTCTGATGTAGTTTTTGTACACTAAAATGACATAAATGAATACATTTCCTATCAAACGAATATCCCTTATAAAGTTCTTCATACTCATCGTCACAAATATTATACTTTAAAGCAGTATTTCTCAACCACATTCCTGGAGGACCACCAACACTGCATGTTTTGGTTTTCTCCTTTGTCTGTTACGTCCATTACAGGTCTTTCAGTCTGCTAATTAGCCGATGGCCTGAATCTGGTGTGTTTGGTTAAAGAGACATGGAAAATGTGCAGAGCTGGTGATCCTCCAGGAACGTGGTTGAGAAACACTGCTTTTAGGGACAGTTGTTTATGCATGTTTGTGTGAAGTATGATGTAAGATCCTACTTGAATAACAAAAATTCTCTCTTCTTTCCAGAAGGATCTTATTTGATTTTCTTTGATCCAATTGGGATTGAGTCCAAATTACGTAAGAGATTCCATTTGTTTAGATCTGCCATGAAAATGCAATGGTTTATCGGGGTAAACATCAAAGTACTCTGATGTAGTTTTTGTACACTAAAATTATATAAATGAATACATTTCCTATCAAACGAATATCCCTTATAAAGTTCTTCATACTCATCGTCACAAATATTATACTTTAAAGCAGTATTTCTCAACCACATTCCTGGAGGACCACCAACACTGCATGTTTTGGTTGTCTCCTTTGTCTGTTACGTCCATTACAGGTCTTTCAGTCTGCTAATTAGCCGATGGCCTGAATCTAGTGTGTTTGGTTAAAGAGACATGGAAAATGTGCAGAGCTGGTGATCCTCCAGGAACGTGGTTGAGAAACACTGCTTTTAGGGACAGTTGTTTATGCATGTTTGTGTGTGAAGTATGATGTAAGATCCTACTTGAATAACAAAAATTCTCTCTTCTTTCCAGAAGGATCTTATTTGATTTTCTTTGATCCAATTGGGATTGAGTCCAAATTACGTAAGAGATTCCATTTGTTTAGATCTGCCATGAAAATGCAATGGGGTAAACATGAAACTACTCTAAAGTATTTTTCTTTATACACTAAAATTGCATACTGAATACATTGATAGTACAAAAACATTTCCAATCTAATCCTAAAAGTTATACATACTAAATATACATGAATAGTTATAATTCATAGGCATTTCTTCATGGTTTCTGTAGGCTTTATGAAGGTAAACATAAGACCTTATTAAGACCTTTACTTTAGAAATTTGAGAAATGAACACAATATGTTATCTAAATGTGAATGCATACATATCATCAGACAATAAATTGTATTAGCAACACTTTAAAGTCTGAAAATACAACTGATCTTCATTAATTTAAAATTCAGTTTTGAAAAACATTCGGGTTTGAATGCCAACCACCAGAATATGTGAGGTCTTTTAACCCACAAAAGACTAATCACACTCCAAAAATTAAACAAAAGAAATGTTCTTACCATTTTCAACTTATATTGCCATGGCTTTAAGACTTTTGTCTCTTATTTAAGACATTTTTTAAGGATTTAATTTAAGGAAGAGCCAATTTTGGCTTTTTAATATCTGCAGAAACCCTGCACTCCCCATAACCTCAACCAACATGATTGATATTAATATGCAATTCATACATACACACACACCTATTTTAATCCTTTAACTACCTCACTAAGAAAAAAATTGGATTGCATTTCTTAACTTCTAATGTTGCTAGTTAACCAAATGATCAGCCTCTACTAAATGATTGATATGTCGGTTTATGGTAAAAGTACCATAATTAAAACATATTCTATGAACAATCTGAAAATATGAAATATGAATCTGAATTTATTTAAAATCATAATTATAATAAAACTTTTTAAAATAATAAATCATCTTTTTTCTTTGAAGTATAACTGAAAATATTTCAGATTCTCATTCTTCTTAACATGCTTTCTTGGGTTTTTTTTTTTCAATAAAACTAAAATCAAAGTCCAACAGAATTATGTTTGTTTGAATTTTCTTGTAAACCAACAATGCTTGTTTAGTGTAAACTATTATAAAAAAAAAACATTTATTTTTTAAATTACTTTAACAGACATGAAATAAAACAGTAACAACATGGTCAACCGTTTGGTAGAGCAGGCAGTTGATGGGATACAACAATTTTATTGACTAAATTTATTTTTGGCACATTCCTTTAATGTGAATAATTTGATAAGTGAAGATGAGGCATGCTTTTAAATAGCATTAATTTAAGAAAACACTTTTCTCCCCTAAAAAAAGCCAAATTTGGTGTTACCAACATGCCAAGGAAGCCATGTTGCTGTCATGTAATGAGGACACCATAAAACAGAGAGGACCTCTTTTAGACCTTCAGGACATTGTCAAGGTCATGATTCATATTTATAATCAATGGTTTTAAATAAAAGGCACATTTTATATCAAACTAATATCCCTTATAACGTTCTTCACACTCATCGTCACAAATATAATACTTTAAAGGACAGTTGTGTGTGCATGTTTGTGTGTAAAGCATTCCAGTAGACTACTTGACTCGATTTATAAATACATTCTGTTTAACACATCTCTTCTCTGACATGCTTATGTGTTATTAATGCACATATTTTGCTCCATTTTTGTGTATAAAACCCACGTCTTTTCAATGAAAGTCATTTCCCTTAGGTCCTCACCACTCTACAATGCCCCATGGTGCAGTGAAGCACACACAAAAAGCTTCTCTTTTCAATTCCATCCTCTCATCTTTTCAGATCATACAATGTGTGTTTGTAGCCACGGGCTGCCAAAACGTGCTTACCGCTCCACAGAACAAGAAAGCATCCACATTCCCACATCACTGGAGCGAGTCATTGATTCCCTGCTTAATTGCGGTAAAGTTGCACGAGCGACTCGCCGTTATACAGACGGAGATGCCATCATATCCCGAGCAACTTGTTGGATTGTGCTGATTTAATAACAGCGCTACTCTCCAACTCTTCCCTGCGTTTACATTAGGACCCCGGTCACATGGAGCGCTGGAAGAACAGACTCATTCAGCGGATAAAGCAGCGCTAAAAGTGATCTATACTCACCCCTGCGCTGAGGCTCTCCCTGCTCCTCTGCGATTCCACCAACACAGGACCTTACGTTCACGTGCTGCTCTCTAGTCGAGCTTTTATAATGCCATACAAAGCGCCAACCCAGGAGAGAGAGCAAGAGAGTGAGAGACCGCCGGGTGGTCCACTATTACTAATAGCGCTCTCTCTCTCTCTGAAGCGCGAGCTCCTCCTGTTGATAGGAGCCGTTTAAGTTGAAGTTCATCAACATTGAAGGACATTACAGTAGTAGCCTATTTCTTTTTTCTTCGTCCCCACTTTCGTCCTTCTTTTGTTGTCTGCATTTCCTTATTTGTTGTATAGTCAGGGTTTATTGACTTTATGTAATTCAAGTCAGTTTTATTTGCGTTTTTATTTAACTGGTATGTTGCTTGGATGTAGCCTGTTATACTGGATAAGACTGTCTGTCCGTCCTTCCATCTGTGTGTGTGTGTGTGTGTGTGTGTGTGTGTGTCTTCAAATTAATCCGTTGGGGGTCAACACACACACACACACACACATAATGAATATATAGATTTTTGTATTATTATAATTTATTAAGGGGCGACAGGGTGGCTCAGTGGTTAGCACTGTCAACCCACAGCAAAAAGGTTGCTGGTTCTAGTCCCGGCTGGGTCAGTTGGCATTTCTGTGTGGAGTTTGCATGTGTTGGCGTGGGTTTCCGCCAGGCGCTCTAATTTCCCCCACTGTCCAAAGACCTGCGCAATACTGTAGGTGAATTGAATAAGCCAAGTTGTCCATATGTGTGTGAAAAAGTGTGTATAGATGTTTCCCAGAGATGGGTTGCAGCTGGCAGGGCATCCGCTAAGTAAAGCAT